ATATATGTGTGTGTGTGTACATTAATTACCATTATGTTGGAAATATGAAGAACACACAATAATTTTTTTTTGAGACAGCTGGCCTGGAAATATGTAGACCAGGCTGGCCTTGAACTCAGAGATCCACCTGCCTCTGCCTAAGCCAGGTGTGGTGGCTCATACCTTTAATCTCAGCACTCTGGAAGCTGAAGCAAGAGATCACCCTGAGTTAGTTCAAGAACATCCTGTGCAACACAGTGAGTTCCAGACCAGTCTGGACTGCAAAGTGAGAGCCTGTCTCAAAAAACAAAAATAAAACTCAAACCAAAAATAAATGCATTATATTATAATAAGCCTATTACAGACACAACTTTGGAGGTATTTTATACTGGGAATCCTTTTCATGTCCTTAGGCTATCGCCTGGTATACTCCGATTCACTGGAAGCAAGCTTGGGAGAAGTTAGAGACTGACACTGAATTCGAGAGATGTTCAGTCACCACCCCATTACTGCGAAGCCATATGTTTTGGTGGATGACATCTGTGACTTCCATAAGTAAAGAAGGACAAGGTCTGCTGAAGAAAGAGTCCCCTAAGTGTCAGCTAGAAGTGGTTCAGCCTTCACTCACAAAGTAAAGGATGCTTTGTTTTGCTTGGTGGTTGAGGATACCGCCCCCCTGCCCTCAGTAACTGAGTGTGTGGGAATGACTGGGTGGCAGGTGTATGACACGTAATTAGTAACCATGTCTCCCATACAAAAAGCATGTGCCATAGACTCAGCAGATCTGAGCCTGCAGGCTGTGCTGGCATCCATGAAACGGAATCATGAGATCCTCTGGTTTCTTTCATTTTTCCTTAGCACTGTTTAAGGCAAGGCTGTTTCAGGAGGTAAAGAGGTGACATTTTCGCCATACCCTTAGTGGTGTTCAGGTGACGACAGAAGCATACTAGGAATTTTTTATCCTCCAGCTAGCTGGGGACAGGTATGCAGAATTAAGCTCATTTGTAGGCAAATACTTCAGCTATGATAAATGCTGGCCTGGTTTTTTATTTGATTGCTGTGATAGACACTGACCAAAATCAACCTGTGGCAGGAAAGGGTTTATTTCATCTTACACTCACAGTCCATCATCAAGGGAAACCAGGGCAGGAGCTCAAGGCAGGAGACCATGGAGGAACATGCTCACTGGCCTGCTCCCTTGGGCCTGCTCAGCTACATTTCTCATACAGCCCAGGACGACCAGCTTAGGGATGGCACCACCCACAGTGGGCTGGACCTTCCCTCCCACATCAGTTAGCAAAGAAGACAGTGCCTGACAGACGTGTCCCCAGGCCAGTTTGGTGGCAGAAATTCCTCATGTGAGGTTCCTCCTTCCCAAGTATGTCTAGATTTGGGTCAGGTTGACAACTATGAGAATGCTCTGCCTGTATGGTCTAGTAAAGCTGTTCTCTGTTGGTTTTTGAAAGAGGCTTTCTACTTAACTGTACCTTGAATACTAATGCCACCACATAAAATGCCTTTAGGATTCAAGTTGGCCTTTTTCTTGTTACAGGGACATGGAAATCCCACCAACCATTTTCTCCAACTCCAGCCCTTGGTGTCGTAGTCCCTACACCCCTCCACATCCTTACTGTTCTCTAATTGAACCGTACTACTCAGATGTTTCCGAGAGCAACTTGAGGCCACAGCTCAAGTCTCAACCAACCAATTGTGACCCAGCCACAGGTAAGCTAAAAGCAGACATGCATATTGCAGAAGAGATTAAGGAATGGTGTGAGTTCGTGTGTGTGTGTGTGTGTGTATGGTGTGCGTGCGTGCTAAGTATTTAAAGCTACTCACACCCACAGCAGGGCGGTGACAGCTCTTTATCCTGTGACAAGAACCTGAGGGAAACACTTGAAAGAGGAGATGCTTTGCCTCATGGTATCTGAGGTTTCAGCTCATGGTGGGCAAGGTCCATGTGGCTTTCCATCTCATGGGAGCAACTCTATACATGGCAGAATGGGTGGTGGAGGAAAACTGTTCATCTTGAGGCAGCCAGGAGGCAGAATGGAGCAGTGTCAGGAAGTGGCCAGGGTAAGATGCAGCCACAAGGCCCCTCCAGTGACTGGCCTCTTTCATTCAGACCCCCACCGTATACAGTTCCACCATTGTGGGAAGCGAGCACGGCCAAGCCAGCCAAAGATGGCGCCCTGGCTGGCTGCCAAACCTCATGCTGTTTACTTCTACTCTTGGCTGACTGCCAAGGCTCGTGAATCCCGCTTGTTTACTCCAAACATGGTGAGCCGAACAGGTGCTGCCAGCCTGATGATCTTGCTACGTGGCCAATGAGCTGCCACTCTGCCTGCCCGCTGCACGTGTGTGTGCCCTGATTGGTCCTGGCCT